CACGACGTACGTCGAAGTACATCTTTACAATCTGCGAAAATTCTTCGCTACTTGCACTTTCTCCTCTTTCCTGTTTTTCCTTCGTCGTCGTTGTCATTATCGTTTAATTTTTTTCGTTCAGAGTCGTCATTCTACGCAACTAACTCTCTGTATCCTTCTCTCACCGCCTTTTTTCTCTCTCTACCTGACCGACAGTTAATTACCCCTAAATCAAGTATCCACGGCGTACATGGAGGTACATCTTCGCAAGCTGCGAAAATTCTTCGCTACTTGCATTTTCGTTTCTCCTCCTTCCTGTTTTTCCTTCGTTGTCATTGTCGTTTTATTTCTTCGTTCAGAGTCGTCATTCTACGCAACTAACTCTCTGTATCCTTCTCTCACCGTCTTTTTTCTCTCTCTACCTGACCGACAGTTAATTACCCCTAAATCAAGTATCCACGGCGTACATGGAGGTACATCTTCGCAAGCTGCGAAAATTCTTCGCTACTTGCACTTTCGTTTCTCCTCTTTTCTTTCTCTCCTTCGACCTGGACGAACGAAACGGAGAGACGAGGGAGAGAGAAACACGGAAAACGAAAGAAACGGCGCCTCGGTGTGAACGACCCTTTCGGTGTAACCCGATACCAGAGATGCAAACGAGAGATAAGATTCCTCGGGAATTGCGCTCCGGTCCAGTTTCGGCACGCGCCTCTTCGCGTCCTCTTGCCCTCCTCTTTCGCACACCTCGCCGTCACGCGCTTCCATCGCGACGGTGTCACGCGAGCGTCCTCCGCGAGCGTCCGCTACTTTTCCTCCATCTGTCGCTTGACTCCTGTCGGCGTCTCCCGATGCGAAAAGTCGATGGAAAAAGTCTCGAATCGCGTGCCACCGCGAGGCTTGCGCGTTGCTCGTTCTGCTGTGAATTCCTAGCAAACTTGGAGCATTTATTCAAGCTTCAACGAGCGTGACGCCGAGAGATCGAAGCGTGAACGGCGAAACGGAAAGAAGGAGGCAGGCGTCGAAAAAGAAGTAGAAAAAGGGAAAGAAGACGGGGAAAGAGTTCCCTTCGTGCGAGTGTCAGATTGGCGCGCGCGCGCGCGCGCGCGTGTGTGTGTGTGTGTGTGTGTGGTGGTGTGCGCGTGTATACGTGAGTGGGAACGGCTGGTGAGACAAACGGGGCTAAGG